ATCACGTGTGCAACCTGTGTTTACACTAGCCGGCATCATGGAAGCCCTCAGAGCTGTGCTCTGTCACTACCCGATCCATCAATTGTCCAAGCGCTTTCTGCTTGTTTGTTTTTGCAAGCAGAATTACTGCTCCTTGCGGAAGACCACAGACGAAGGACGGGGTTAAGAACGGGGAAAGTACTGCCGCCTACAGGTCTGGCATGTCCTTAACAACGTATTTATCGGGGTACGTGTGGATAGAGTTTGTTTTTAAAACGCGGTGGTGTGGATGCAAGTTTTTGGAGGGGCAGATATTCGTTTTCAAAAAACCCCGGCTACATGTGGACTAGGCCTTAAAGTGAATCCAGGTCACTACACCACTTCTAATGTGATCCCCCCTACACATACACCTAAATTAACAGACCATGGTAATGGTGTGGTGGCAAATATTTTGGCTCTGCAATTCCTGATTTGTGTATTTATATATAATATTTATTTATTTATTTGTTTTTATTTCACAGAGCGTTCAGTGGATTGGACCACATGAGGGAGAAAACAAACATATTTTGCTGGGTTAGCCCCAGCAGAGGTGAAGGGCTCAGACCTCAAAGCAAACAAACAATGCTTCCTGAAAAAAAAGCTAATTTTAAGTAACAGTGTGTAGTTTTACCCTTAATCTCTGGAAACATCTATCGAAATGTTAAGATTTAATTAAATAATGCCCAGTTGTTGAAAAATATTGCAGGCTTTGTAACATTTAACTCTAAATTACATGGAAGCAGGTCTAAGTCTCTGGGCGACGCCATGTTTCCTCCTATGGGAGCTTGTGAGGACAAAATTAATTTACTGATTTGCAACAAATGGTTATAAAACTTTCACCATTCATAAACGTTGTTTTACACATTTACCTCTTTACTCATTGCCAGTGGTGAAAGGAAGTCTGATGTGCTGGAGTTTTTTACCCTAATTGACATCCATAGATAAGGTTCAACACAAAAATAACATTTGCTTGCAGTGATCAAGTTATGTACTGGCCCCTATCACCAGGGAAAATACACATTACCACTTTAAAGATGAATACATTTTGGCAGAAGGAAAAAGATGGCTTTATATTTTTCACAACAGCTGATGTCTCTTAGCCTGGCAAGCCAGACTAGATAAATGTATTATTTAGTCTGGCCATGCTCCATTGACGGCTCTCGGTTGTGGGGCGGGTTCTACCGTTGTCTTTCAAATGATCTCCACATTCCACTGGACAATGAATGTGACATACTCTTGTTTCTCTCTGTTGCATCATCCCACCCACCAGGCATATAGAGTGTCCTGATTGGCCCACAAAGCGAATAAAGCTCTGTGATTTGTTCACTAAGCAGATAGAGCACTATGATTGGCCCACCATTATGGACCAATCACAGCTCTTTATGTGTTTGAAACCCCTCTAGAGAGTTGTGATTGGCTAGCCAGAGTCCTGGTAGGAGCTGCTGAGGTTCCAATGGAGCATGCCTAGACCAAACTTTGCAAAGCAAGAATTTGGTCTGGTTCACTAGGCTAGATGTCTTTAGCTCAATTATATAAAAATACAAATTTCAGGTTCTCACTCGCCTGAAAAAAAGATTAGTCTGGTTTCACATCTTCATAGGAACATCCAACTTGAACCTTGTGCATACTCAATAATGAAAGAAAACAAATAAAAAAAACATTATGGCACTTCTTCTAAGTTTATAGCCCTTTTTACACATTATTTTACACCTTATTTGTTGTAAACAAAAGACTTCCTCATGAAGTCGCCACCGTCCCTCTTGTGTGATTCACACATGCCAAACAGAAGCAACTCAATGCCGTGGCGGAGCGTGTGTGTGTGTGTGTGTGTGTGTGTGTGTGTGTGTGTGTGTGTGTCTGCGCGCGTGCGTGCGTGCATGCATGCTGAACCACAACAGAATCAGCCAGGTGACAACCACGTTGTTGATTTGAACTGTGTGCTGCAAGCGCCACCTCCCACTTCACACATACAAGCTAATTAGGTTCTGTGACTACATCTCCTGCAGCCGCATACACAGTAGATCAACTTTGACCCCTCCGTTCCGCCTCAGTACTTTCACACATAACAATAAAGCACAACGAAGGCGTATCGGGCCTGGCTTCAGAGGTGATGTGTGAAAAGAACTTGTGCCAATCACCTTTTTTTTGTTAAACTTTGCGGCGATTTTGCTCATTTATTTATCACCTCCTGCTGTAACAGAGGAAAAGTCCTGCATGCACACACCTGTGAAACACATCACAGATTTTTCCCTCTTCAACTCTTCGCTGTGAGTAAAATAGCTCAGCACTGACATCCAAATGCTTAGTACGCATTTAAAATAACATCTGACACACATCCTTTGGCAGTTTCGGGATATGCATATGAGGCATGAGCCAAAACACTGCACATATACGAGTAGAGAAACTGTTTAGGAGTCTGTATTATTGAGTCAGAGGACTGTTTTTTTACTTTAGTTTTTTTTTTTTTTTGCATGAACAAGGCTGAGGGCAGCTTGATACATCAGGTCAAAAGCAGGGAGCAAAGAGAGTGCAGGCTTTCAAGGCAGACAATACGAGTCAGCTATCTGACTTCATCAAATAGGACTTGACAATAACCCCCTGAATACAGGGGCTCTACTCTTTTATTTCATTTTTTTTATTTCCCGAAGCGACTTGCCAGAGTTGCTGACTGTCTCATACCAGCCAATATCTCTCTCTGTGGCAGTCATATGTCATTCCATTATGTGCACTTTGGCTTCAGTGACATTCCAGTGTGACAACTGGTCTTGTATATTAAGTCTTATGTAGTGAGTAGTGTTCCTGGTTCAACTCTTCATTAGCTGCACCTGAGCTAATCTGTCAAACACAAACATTATTCAAGTACGTTAGCAAAAGAAATACCCACCTAATTAGCTTTTAATATGTTTCATTAAGTGTTTAAATATGATAATTATCTTTTGTAGTTATTGTTATATTTTTGAGATGAGCAAATAAACTTTTTTAAAGCAACACTAAAGAGTTATAACACGTTAAGCTACTGATTTCAAGCTGTTTTTATTCATTCTTCAACCATAAACCTGAGCATCTTCATACTGGACACCACCATGTAGCTCTCTGGTGACCTGAAACTTTTGTGGTTTTGTGGTTCTGGTAGCAACACTAGTGAAGGCCTTTACCTGCTTTACTGCAATAGCTGTTAACTGAGCCGTAGATCATATAAAGGCTAGCAGTTAGCCTTTTCAGTTCTCCGGCTTTCAATATTACTACAAAAAGTAGAATTTTGATTTTGTTGTTTGCATCATGGCAGAGCCTAAAAGTAAATTGAAGAGAGCAATGTCTTTGGAGGCAAAGCAAAGAGCTCAAACCAGAACTAGAACATACACTCGTTTGAGCTAGCTGACGGAGGCTAACTGATGGTGACCTAGCCTTGTTGCTACTGTAAGTAAGTAAGTAATAATATTGTTTGTCCAACAGTGTGGATCTTTTTACTTCATGGCTTATTTAGTATCAGCTTGCTTGTGCTAGCGTTAAATCATTGTTAGCGCTAGCTACAGCCGTGTTGTTTATGACCGTTGTAATTCTATTTTAAACCAGTAGGAGGGAGAAGTGGGAAATGTATTGGTTCTACTGATGAGAAGCTTTCCAGTACATCACAGCAGAAACGAAGCACTTTGATTTCCAGTGACCTTCCAAGATTTATAACTTTGCTACACCATCAATGTGGAAGCTAAAATCACAAATTAAAGTAAAATGTCACAGACCAAACATATACAATAAAAAGGTCAGAGTGTTGTGTCTAGGCTATATACACATTTTACAAAGTAACTCAAAATAAAACTGATTTTTATTATGAACCTTCAATTAAACCTACATTAGATGCTGCTGTGAAGCTCCCACTGTCAGTGTGTGCAAGTGAGCCAGCGTATTTCAGTCAGTCCAGGCTTTAATATTGTAAACCGTAAATATCAAAGAGCCAATACGAAGAACAAAAATAAGAAAATGGCCGAAACAAGTAATTGAACCAGGCTTGTAACATACCTCCATTAGGAACTATACATTTATTTAGATTTTACTCTCAGACTGTTTCCATTTGAGAAATAGTTTTAGTATTAAACATTTAATTGTCAGTGAGTTAATATGGAAGAAGTGCTTTTATGATTTAGCCACATGATCACTCAATATGCTCCATTCTGTGTAACCACTTTAAGTTATAGTCAAATAACACAACACACACACACACACACACACACACGCACGCACGCACGCACGCACGCACGCACGCACACACACACACACACACACACACACACACACACACACATTTTGCTAAGAGCAAGTAGCTCAACCTCCCTAACAAGCCATAATAAAGCAAACACCGATAGACTAATGTAAGCATGCTTAATCAAGATTGCACCCTCCAGGGCTGATTTTAAAACAAGCAGAAATTACAATAGACAGAAAATTACCTCCTGCAAGCCAGATCGGATCTGCACTTTGTTCTGTCACGTGAAATTAGCTCTTTGTTAAAAAGAAGGAAAAGTTAATTTGTTATGTGGATATTTTGAATCCGTGTCTGGTCGCTGGGATCCGTTCCGCCTGGTTTAACACTGTTTGTTTTCTTTATTTAATAAACTCTCCTTGCACCGTTTCTTTTGCCTTTCAGTACTCTAATGAAGTTTCTAATTCACTTTGGTTTGGGTTCAGGTAGCTCATTATTGGCATTAACATTAATGCCATGTGGGCTATTGACGCTGAAAGGCTGCCTTTTTTGTTTTTCATCCCACACTTACATTCGGTTTTGCTGCTTTCAATTGATTGAATGAATCAATTCAAAGGTAGCTGTTAGTTCTCCTTGGTGGAAGGCTATTAAAAACTCTCAGATGTATATTTTCTTTTAAATTAAATCAACGCTGAAGCAGACGTGATAGTTTATAGTGTGGTGTTCCGTTAGAAAAGTTTGGAGTCAGTGTTCTGATGCTTCACAGCCACATCTGTGGATTTACCTTTGTGACATGATCTTGTAGGCATCTGGAAGATAGCAGTTTATGTTCTCCATCTGGAAGGGGTCTGCATCGCAAATCTTGTCATCTGTTCGGCCGTAATTTGCACTTTCGATCATGATGACATCACTTCCTGGACACCGAAGATCAATGGGGTAGCCCTCGCAAGACAGCTCTCGCCGCACTAAGCCAAACGGCAGGGCGGCTCGACTGAACCCTGAGGGAGATGAGAGGAGAGGAAGAGAGAGCTCTATCAGTGCAAATCGAAAAAAAAGAGAGATGTGGCCGCTAAGGCGCCGAGATGAGAAACATGCGATGAAGTGGTGGAGAACACACGATATCCGAACTGAAGCTACACAAAGAAAACATCCACATGCGTGCACTTTTTTTGGTTTTTTCAAAAGACCACAACTCTTCTTAAAAAATAAGGATGAACTGATATTAATGGAAAAACCCAGGCAATGAATACTGGTCTGTACATATAACAGAGTTCTGAGCGAGCATTTCAGATGTCAACCTCAGCGGAGAACTAATAGTGCTACTATGTCATCCTCGGGGCGCTAACTGGCACTGAAAAAGAAATCAATATTTGTCATTAAAGTCTAGTTTGTCAGCCTAAATGTCTGGAGCCTTGTACCACCTTTTGACCATCAATAAAAACACAACGACACATTCCCCAGAATTTTGTTTCTCTTAAAACTCCAAACAAAAGCAAGAGTTTTCAGTTGGCATGAATGTAAGAATCAATAATTTAATGGTTTTCTTTTTTTTGCTTCATTTCAATATGGAAACTCACTGTAATTTTCAGTCTGCCACTAGAGAATTGTAGTTTTCTTGAAAAGCTTGCTTCTGTTTTTTTAAGAGAAAATGAAAAAGAACAAGAAGCTTGACAACATAAGTGTAATTTAATCCACTCGGCAGAGCTGACAATTGAAGGGAGGACTATTGGGAGGCAGGAAAAATGAACCAGTTTGTGTGTGTGTGTGTGTGTGTGTGTGTGTGTGTGTGTGTGTGTGTGTGTGTGTGTGTGTGTGCGTGCGTGCGTGCGTGCGTGCGTGCGTGTGAGTGTGAGAGAGAGAGAGAGAGAGAGAGAGAGAGAGAGAGAGAGTTTCTGAAAGCACACGTGAAGTGAAAGGGGGGTGTAGACATTTTTGAAAAGAAATCAATAACGTAGCTCTGCAAATATGAACAATGCCAAAAGCCATTTTTAAAGTAAAAGTGAAGTATGTACAGGTAAACTTCATGAATCTGGATGTTCTGTGATAAGAGCAGCTTTCTACAGAGATGACATGTGAAATATTAAAGAAGGGCAGGAAGTTTAATAAGACTGCCAGCTGCTCCTGTGCCGACTTCTTTGACTAATAAGTGGAGTTTTCCAGCATCCACTGGTGACTTTGTCACCTCTTTGAGGCCTCGGATAACAAGGTACCTTCCTACAACTTGGATGATGGCTATGTTGTTTCCAAAGCCTCTGTCTCCCTAATGAGGATTAGTTCACAGTCATAGGAGACTAAAAAACACCCTCACTACGTCTGGTGCACTAATTTGTTTGGCTCAGAGACAACTAAAACAGATCCACGTGTGTATTTTGGGATCAAACTACATGTATGTTTCCTTTCATGGAGGGTTGAAATTGGTCAAGAAGGGGTGAATTTGTTTTACCCTATTGAATGGCTCATCAATTAACAACCAATACAATTATCTTTGTCTGGTTAAATGCTAAGCAACAGTGGCAGGTGATTAGCATTCTGCATGGTGGTTCTTGCCAGGAAATGCCGCTGTGATATTTCACAAAGGGAGATAAATGTCAGTTTGTATTGTCTAATGCTTGATTTGTGCACCAAACTCTGGTAAAGGTCTAACTTCTGAGGTTTTCAGTGAAAAAAGCTGAGAGTAAACAAAGGGTCTGTACGGCGCTGGGCAGCTGCTCGAGTCCATCAAACGTCTATTGTCTGCAAGAACACAATCATCAAGTATGGATCTTTTTCCCCCTTCAACTCAGTTTTTGACAGCTTTTTTCTCTCTTTTTCTCTTTTTTTCATCTCTTTTCATGGAAAAAAAGAGAGGATTTCAAATATGATGGGTTTTAGCTAATTTTACATTTTCTCAGTTTTTTTCTCTAAGGATTCAGACAGAAATGTTAAAGGTGATAAACAATTTATCAGAGGAGTCGGCTGTAGAGTGAAAGTAGAAAGTGAGAGGAAAACAACGAGAATAACACGATAGGAACATAACTTTACAGTCGATCATCAGCTGAACTTTAAACACCATTAAACCACTTGCAGCGACTCTCAAAGTAACCTAAATATCCCTCTGCATAAAACAATTTTTTTAAATATATTTAAACAATGACATGGCAGTGGTAGATGTATTATCCTGACTTTTATATAGTTCTTATATGTTCATATTTATTATATTAGTACAAAAAAGTTTAATATATATGTTGAAAAACTGAAATTTTCATATTAGGATTTTTTTCTTCTTCGATATAACGAATTTAATGAATGTTAAAATGTAAATTGTCTGTACCCGTTATGTAAAACCAAATCTGTCTCATGCTTTTACATTAGCTTGTGTTACTAAAGGGGTCGTAAAGATTTCAAATAGATCAACTGGGTAGCAATTAAATATTGCTGGGTGGGATAGATTAACTTGCACAGGCCTACTTTGTGGCTGGAAGGGATCTGTTTTTTGGCCGTGTGTAAGACCTCTGAGTTTGATCTGCAAATCTACGGCCAAACCAACCAATGTTTCGTGTCCCGGGAACCCTGGTAAAACACTTAAATCACTCAGCAGAGCCGTCCGCCGTCTGCTTTTGGTTTTGTGATTTAAAGCTAAAGCAGTCGTCTCTTCTTAAAGAGGAAAACAGAACAGAGCGGCATGACTTCTGCTGAAATCCACTAGCTGCTTCCCAACCACGCCAAGGAGAGTAAAACATTTTCAGCACAAAACAACCGTCCTCCGTGTGCCTTTTATTAGCCATCTTGGTTCATGCATCATAGTTGTCAACAACCTGTGAAAGCCTCTCTCCATTGATTAGACCCCAGGCTGAACTACTTTTTTTTCTCCTGGTGCCAGACAGCATTTTTAGTTCATGGTGAGCCAGTGACACAGACACATCAATATGAACACCCAATAGTCTATGAGTAGACAGAATTAGCCACAGTAAACATGTTATTTTTACACCGACAGTAAAATACATAATATTTCATTATGACCTGTATTTGTGTATTTGTTCTTAGGCTTCTACAACCCCCAAGTTGCTTCATAACACAATCAGTCGTCCACCCATTTACACACACATTCACATGCTGGTAATGAGCTACGGGGTAGCCTCAGCTTCCCTGGGGCACACGGACATCTGATCTGATCTTCAAATAATGTTTTGGTCATCTTCCTTTCTATTCCAACAGTTTTTGTGATGACGTCAGATGAATTGTCTTTGACTCTTCCCATACAGATAATATGAGGGAGCCAAACCCACATTGATCATGCATTGCAATTGCAACACACTAATGTGATCACACTCTAACATGAAAAAATCCAATGCTTACTGGCTCACTTAACTGAGTAATTTCATTATTCAAATTAGCCAGAAAAGTAATCATTATTTTGCCCATGGGATCATTAGCATAATTATTTCAGGGAACTCTTGATATGAAAATTATTTACTTTCCATATGGTGACAGCAAACCACAGCAGGCATGTGAATGTTGAAATATTGACTGTTTGTAGGTTTGGTTTGGTTTAGAAGTGCTTTTGAAAACCTAGAATCCCATCTAAAGAAAGCCTAACATGTTGACAGCAGCAGCTGAGAGAACTTGTTGCTATAAACTTGTTTAAAAGGAATGAAATCATAACATCATGGAAAAACATTTAACCGTGTGTTGATTTTATACATTTATGACTAATTATATTGTATCAAAATACAAAATGATGACAGTCAGTTTTGGAGTTGAGGACAGGGTTGTATTTTTCAACAAATGTCATAGAAAAAAACAGTCCATTATATTATTGAAATTCTTACACCATAACATGACAGGTAATCATATTTCATACTGGTGAGATATCAAGAAGATTTCTTCAGGAAAACTTGTTGGTAAGAGGCAGCAGCCAAAAACCTAATCATGTACCACATTTTCTGCATTTGATACTGTTGATCGCCAGTTTTTATTAGACAGGTTGAGATACTTTGCAGGAGTATCCAGAACTGCAATGCAATGGTTTGCTTCATACCTCCGTGAATGCACGGTTTCTACGGCTACATCTCATTTTGGATCTCTTCCAAGGAAGCTGAATTATGGTGTACCACATGGCTCAGTACAGGTGCCTATGTATTTTGTAATCAATATTCTACCACTTCAGCTCATTTTAAGTTCATTTAACCCTCCCACTGTTCTAATGGTTGACCCCGCGAGGAAAGTTGACCATTGAGCAGGATTGATGGTTTATTCCTTCAGGTCCACATGGCAGGGGTGAGGAGTGAGCACTACCTCACCCCTGCCACGAGAACTACCTCACCCCTGCCACGTGGACCTCAAGGGATAAACCATCAGTCCTGCTCAATTGTCAACTTCCCTCGCGGGGTCACCGATGAAGACAGTGGGAGGGTTAAAGATGTCGCCTATCCCTGTTATGCAGATGATATTCAATTATATGTTTCTTTTATGCCTACTGAAACCTCTAAACTGACTGTGTTTACAAACAGTTTTGGGTGTGTGAAAACCTGCGTGGCAAAACCTTTTCCACAACTAAGTGAGGATAAAACTGAAATCTTTACACGCATGTCAAGCTCAAATCTTCCAACAATGTTCATTAGCCTCTTATGGTAAGCCAACCATAAAAAATCTGGAAGTTAGTTCAACTACTGATTTCAAGCCATGTTCAGTCATTGACTCACAGTTGCTATGCTGAATGATTTATATATGGCCAATTTGTAAAAATGATGATTGTTTTTTTTTTGTAAATTTAAAATGTAGCCTAGCAAAAAATAAATAATAAAAAAAAACATGGACACATTTTTCAAAGATAAACTCAACACTGTCATCTTCACAAAAAGCATTTCAACATTTCAAGTGTTACTTCTTTGAAGAAGAAGACGAAGAAGAAGAAGAAGAAGAAGAAGAAGAAGAAGAAGAAGAAAGTATCATTTCTATAGTGCCTCTCAAGATAAAAATCACGAGGCGCTTCACAAAAAAAATGTTAAAATATACAAAA